GAAGCTGTCAGCTCCCGGCTTGTCACCCACTGCATCAGGAGGCCCCTGGGCTGCCACAAGAGCCCTAATTAGGCAGAAATGGCACTTCGGCAACTGACCCGCCAGGACCTTTGGCAAAGCATTTAACATCATTAGTTAACATTTTTATTAAAAAAAGTGTGAATGTAAATGAACAGCCAATGCATTTCAATAGGGTTTGTCGGTGGCATTGCACGCCCCCCCACTCTCCCAACCACACACACACTTTTTTGCATGAATAGTTCACTTGTTTTCTCTAAAGGGGGATGGGGATGCAGAGAATGTTTTTCCAAGGGAACTAGACATGTTCAAAGCACAGGGAAGGTCTTAAACAATCAGGCCCAAACTCTTGCCTTTTGGGGAGTGTGTTGGGGAGTGAACAAACAACTAAATGCGACCTTACCTGCAACGTGCCTAAAGGGACATCTGAAAGGGAAAGGATGCGTAACCCATACCGGGATAAAGAGATGCACAATCACATATTCATCTGATTGTTTTAAGCATATTCCTTGTATATTTGTTCTTTTCTGCTACGTCTAAGAATATGGGCACCTAATCCAGTAAATTTGCAACACTTTGCTGGAGCTATCAAAAGCTACAGTAAGATAAAAGGATGAATGCCTAGGAATATACTGTCCTCTTGTTTCGCTATTATTTCTTTAAAGTACTGCATTTTATCTTTGATAAAACATTATCAAAAATACCACTCAGGCATATTAATGACCTACCTTAATTGAGCCACCACTGGCAGCAACCTGTATATGGAAAATTATTTATTCATACAGATGAATATGCAGCTTTGGGAGAGTTTATTAGTATTTATTTTTTTCTGCAGGTTCTTTAATGGAAGAGCTGCCATAATATGTCATTTCTTGACCAAAATTCTGGCACAGTTTTTTGGAGGTAAGGGGCACAAGGAAATGAAATAATCATAAACACACTTTTGAAGAAAGAAATAGACAGGACTTGGAAGGATGTCCAGTCCTCAGATATTTTATGTCTATGTTGAATGAATATGCCACAATCCTTTATTTCCCTTAACCCATTAGACTCCTCCTTCCTCCAATGGAGACACTGGGACTGATTGCCTGGGCCAGATAAGGACTATATTACCTCTAATTTTGGAATTTGTTTCCTCTGTAACAGCCATACATTACCAGAAACAGTTGTAGTGGTAAGGACTATTACTTGAACCTTCTAAAACAGATCAAAAAAAACAGATCTTCCTAATAAAGTACTTGGGATGAAGATTTTGGTTCAAATCCCAACTCATCAGACTTTCTTTGCAGCCATTGGAAGGTTACCTTCTTTCTCAGTTTCATGTATTAGAAACTGAAATATAAGCTTTGTCCTTTTCTCATATGTTGGCATATTCCGAGGTTCTGGTCCCTCAGCGTTCCAAACCATGTCAATGCCATACCAGGAAAAAACGTGGCTACGCACCTTTCTCCTGTATGTTCAGTTTGCTAAATAAACCAGCCTCAACCCTGACCTGACACAAAAAGAGAAGCACTACGTATCACCTGACAGGGATAACCAGGAGATCATACCTCGGAGTACATCAGATCCCCCACAGATCTCCCCTACTGTGACAGAGCCATAGCAATGCTTGTATTCAAATGCCAGAATAAAGATATACCAGCACATGTGTACCCCACATCTGCACAATAGTGATGGAGATGCAACCAATGCACACAGGCAGAAGATATATACATGAATATGCTCACACGTACAAGGACTGTCCATTTCCAGAATGGATAAAAAACCCTCCTTTGTAAATGCTTTAGGATCTACAGATTATTCCATATAAATTCTTGCTGTGTCTGTACATAAACAAACAACTATGTGTAGGCTTCAAGGCCACTCTAGAAACATTAAACCAACATGGGCTTCTAAATATAAATTTTTAAAGCACAAGACCAGGTCTTGTAATCCCTGTAGGAAGCCTGGTGTGATCTCTTGACTCACCTGTAAGAGCAAGAGTGGCAACTTTGGCAGTATTCAAATCATTGCTTACCACTCTATTAATGAAAACGAAATCTGTATCTTTCTTTCTAGAGCAGAAATAGGCAGGCATAAACATTAAAAATGTATTTGTTGACAATAATTAGATGGTGGCTCACCTATCCCCACGATGCAGTTGTTCAGAGGTCATTAGCTTAAAAGCAATATTAGGCACAGGCAATAAATGCTTTTTAGGAAGTGTCAAAAAAGCTGAATTGTACAAGGCACAGAAAGTTGGTAACAGTAAGGTGTCTGTATCTGACCCCTTTTCCCATCACATGGCTGTTTTCCAGTCTAGTTCTCCAGTACAGCTTCTCTTCTCCCGCTGGGAACCAGAGGGGTGGCTGAAGGGAGAGAGAGATGACAGCTTATTGAAAAGCTCGTGCTCCCTGCCTAGTTTTGGCACATTTTCTGCAGGTGCCTCACACTGTAGCCACAATAGGCTCTGGAAGAGAGGATTCAGACCTGTCAACAGCTACAGGAGGCAACTCCACAGCTTTGTCTTACATGCTAAATTCATTGTCTGCTGTTCTGAACCCTGCAGCACAGGCACCCGTTAATGAGATGAGCCCCTTTTTCTCGGTTTGTTCCTCCCTCTGTTTCTCTTGCCTTTCTGTAATGATTTAACTTGATCGTATTGGTTCCTTTCTAGTGGGGATTGCTCCAACGATCAGATAAGATAATTGCCTGTAGAATACTGCTTGGCAACAACTATTACTTCTTTGGCTGAAAATGTCAGAGCAATTGAAAGCTCTTAGTGAAGTTCAAGAACAAGGAGGCAAAAAGAAGCAGCTCCTATATATGGATGTATCTGTGTGTATATATAGCAAGTTTACTGTGGCCAGCTCTCCTGGATGATGGTGCTTTACGAGCACCACTTTCTGCATAATTTATATTTCCACGACTTTTTAAGGAAGCTAAACAACAAACACACACACAATTCACATAAGGATGTATTTTCTCATTTAGTTTGGATTTACATGTCATTAATTTTACCTTTGGGAGATGATATTACTTAATTGCCTCTTGCCTTTTCCCCATTTCCTATTCCATTTCTTAAAAAACAAACTAACACAATTTCTTTGTATTTTTAAAATATTGTCTCTATACACTCTCTATTCACTTAAGGAAAGCTCAGAGTGGCATGAAAAAGTGGATGCAGTTATTTAATAGTGCCATGAATTTAATCCCCTTCAAATTAGTCAGGCATATTCTTTATTCTTTGGTGAGCAACTCTAAGATAGACAGCTACATGTTGGTTGTTTTATGCAGTATCCCAAGATTACAAGCTCACAAATTACGTGACTGAAGACACCTGAAAAGAGCCAGGCTCTAATCTTGCAATGTAATTGAACGAGACTCACACTAGTTTAATTACATGGAGCAGAGAATAAGATGCATGGGAGGTTTATACATTAAGCATTTCAAAAACAGAACTGCTATATTGGAACTAACGTTATGGTTGGGTTTTGTTATCTACAACTCAGCTGATGAGCTGAGTGAATTATAGTGCAGGTATCCAATTTAACTAACTAACTAACTAACTAATTTGTAAAGTCTGCTATGTAACTTATTCAGAATTTTCAGAATTACTTTGTTGGCTGATGTAATGCTTTATAGCAAAACGGATTGAACAGATGTCTGAAATACAGTTTCTTCCTGTTCTTTTTGCAAGTGTTTTTGGAAACAGTAATTGCAACAGCTTCTTTTTGTTTTTCTTTTTTCTTTTTTTTTTTTTTTTTTTCCAAATATACAGTCCCACAAGTTGCCAAAGAGAGTAGAATTTCTATCTAAAACTTCACCATCAAGAACTGTGACACAGGAAATTGAGAATAACTGATTTTCCTTTGTGTCTGAAGCTTAGGCTAGCAGACTGACTCTGGAGCCCTTGACAAAAACTCACACTTCTAGAGAAAGCTGGAAGTGGTAATTGCTACTCATGCTTGTCCTGAAACAACATGGCCTTTGAATGAACTCCCATCACGGGGCAGGCTGGTGCAGTAGCTTCACAAACACTTCATGGCAGTCCTGAAAAATGACTGTGTGTAAGTAGGAAACACAAAAGAAAAGCTCTACTATCTTCTGACAAGTAGCCGGGGAATTTAAGATGTTCCTGTGCTCATTTCCTTGCCTGTTACAGTCAATGCTCACAGAATGCAGGAGAATTAAAACATACAAAATTGTTAATTAAGAGCTATGCTCTTTATTAAGATATTATGCTGCAAGCAGGCAGCAATTATTCTCAAATTAAAACCTAAAACCCTTTAATCTTATAGATCACATGCAAAAAACAACACAGTGCTTGGTATACACAGGAGGTCAAGAGTAAATGATCTGATAGTCCTTTGTGGATTTAAGCTTGTAATAACCCAACTGCTAGGATTTCATTTAACTTTAAAATAGAATACTAGCATCAGGCACTTCTCAAAATAATTTCACTGCATTGAAACACAGCCTGCGTTGCCAGAGATTGTGTGTGTTGGACTATTTCCCTTCCCATGAATGGAGCAAGTAACTGAGTACCAATTAACTGGCAAAGTCAGAAACCAGAAGCGTTTATTACACGACACTGACAAATAGTTGTGCATGTTTTGCTCTCGGCCTGCTCAAGAGACATCACCAGTTAACAACAAATATACCCTCCTTCTTTGCTGTGGAAAGTGGTGATTTCTATGATGGGTATTTGGACACATTATGTATACTGATTGCTTTCTGGCTGAAGCCTGATGGGTTTTACATACTGTCCTTTTCTTTGCTCTTGATACATTTCACAAAACGCACAGCTGCAGATGCAATATCTTCCTCCAGTTCTAGAGGGTTTTCTATCAAATAATTCTATCAGTTCCTACTGTCATGTTGCTTTCAGTAACTTTTTGTAAGAAACGGAGACTAGAAAACAGAAGTCTGTATCACAATTGAAGATAAAATGAATGAGTCTGTAATATTTTCAGGGGGTTACACGCATGATTTTTAATACAGATTATCAAATACAAATTATACAAATTATAATACAAATCATACAAATCCTGATAGAAATCTAGAGCCTGACAATGAACTCTATTCCTAAGCAGTGTTCCAGTTACGCTCTGTCAAACCATAAACCTTCTTACACTAGCATAATTAAATACTCCATGTCAATAAACTGCAACGCCATTTCCATTAGTGCAACTGATGCAAGAACTTACCGGAGTGTGTTCAGCACAGGGCACAAAAATGATTAAAGGGCTGGAGCACCCCTCATATTAGTAGAAGCTGAACTTTTCAGCTTGAAGAAGAGAAGGCTCTCTCCTTATTTATCAATCTGTATAAATAGCTGATGGGATGTAATGAAGAGGAGAAAGCCAGCCTCCTTAGCACTCGCTGACACAACAAGAGGCATTTGGCACAAATTAAAAAATGGGACATTCAGTCTGAACACAAGAAAATGCTTTTTGCTGTGAGGGTGGTCAAACACCAGCACAGATGCTCAGAGAGCCTGTGTAATCTCCCTGCTTTGATATATACAAAACTCGACTGGACACAGTCCTGGGCTGACCATGCTTGAGCAGGGTGGTAGAAATAAGTGGTCTCAGGAGGCCCTTCCAACCTAAGCAGTTGTGATTTTTGCAATTTATGTCACAGTAAAGCTTCAAGAAGGAAAGATGAAGTTTTGTGAAAGCTTGTTAAAGAGACATTCCTTTCTGCTCTAGGGAATCTGAAATATTGAATCAAAATCTGAATCAAAAATATTTTACAAAAGGAAGTCACATTCAGAAGTAAAGCACCTCCACATTTCTCCATGTATGATTCTTGAAACCTGGCTATCAACTCCTGAAGGAGAAAATGAAGGGAGGTTTTGCATTAGAGACAGCCACTATCTCTATGTCCATATCAGCCACTGCTTAATTTTAGAAAATACTGATATTTGAAATCTGAACTAATCTCCCCTGTGCAAATGCACCGTGCCAAACTATTTCTCCAATCTTTTGCAAAACACTTCAAAACCACCAGACTGACCTCATGTTCATAGCTCTACCTAACTTCAAGCTATTCTGTAAGAAACGCTGTGGATTTACAAGTCTTGTTGACTTTTGAGGAAAGTCAGACTTGTTCAAGCTCACTCAAAATCTGTGCTTTCAGACATGCCAAACAACTAGGTTTTAATATAATTCTAGCAATACACTAAATTTGCAAAAACAGTATTTTGTGGATGAATACACTCTCAAATAGTAATGCAATTCAGTAGATCTGTTGTTCTTCAAAAGAAGGTATATTTCACTGTATCAGCAGGATGTCATTCAAACATATGGTTGAATATCTTACAAGGAACTGTGAATATTGCATATTCTTCTGAAGGCATATTCTCAACAGCTTTTCAGTTTACATCTAAGTTTATTTATTTATTTAATGTGTAGGAGCAATATTTCTCTCACACTTTTTACTAAACAAGTTTTGAAATGAAAAAAACTATTAAAGGTAACAATGGAAATCATGGAAATAGAGGGAAATAGAGAATTTTAGAGAGAACTAGAATTCACACAGTATTTCTCTAGTCCTCAAGGGGACTATTTACATCTTGTTTATAGGAAAAAAAATCAGATTTCATCTGAGATCTGAAAATCTGGGGGTTTTGTGCAAAAATATCAGCAAGTTTGCTACCAAAAAAAAAATAAAATGCATTACAGATACTGAAACTAGTGCAATGGCAATAATAAAGTCAGTTATAAATTCATGTAATCTTATAGGCTTATCCCAAAATGATAGTCAAGCTTTTGCTCCAGATGGTGCAATAGTGTTTGTGACATCCACTTTGAACTGCAATCTAGTTATGTGTCAAGCAGGAGAGTCCATTATTCACAGCATCAGTGCTGGGGAAAGAAGGTTAAAAGTTCAAGACATGCCCCAAGCGATTAAGGTTGTAAAAATCAGGAGATATACCATGGGGAAAAAAAAATGCCATTCTTCCGTTTCTTCCATACTCAGATTGTCCCAAAAAATGTGTTTAAGAAAAAAGTCACAGGACATAGGAAAGCCCCAATTCTGAACAGTAATGCAAAAATTACCTTTTTATTTGAACTGCTTAAATCCCTCTGCTACCAGCTTTGCTTTTCCTAGAAAGAAACAGAAAGGTTTCTCTTAAAATCTGTGAGCAAGTTACATGACTTGAGAACTCAATTAACGGCTATTTCTCACTCATCACAACATTCACTTCAACTATTACATACATCCAAATAACTCTGATTTCAAACTTTACTTTTTACGTATCCCACATATCAATGGATCATCTGCACCACTCCAGCTTCACTTCTTATTCGTGTAAGCCTTTATCAGTAACAGATAGTCAGTAGCAGATAAAATACAGGTTGCTTCCAACCATCCCCAAAGTTTCTGTACTTGGAACTGCAAGTAATGCTTCTCAAATGGTTGACCAAACTTCCAAATTTAGGGAATTTCTAATCCGATATAACAGGCAAGAGGAAGACCCAAAGCCCAAAGTGTGAAACTAAAATAAATTCAGATTTAAAAAAATAAAAAAATTAAAAAAATGGAAATGCTCTTTGGAAATTGAAATATTTTAAATAAATAGATAAATAAATATGTTTTAGTGCTCAGAACCTTTAAAGGGTATCAAATAATCTTTTCCCATCAAGGCATCTCATTTCAACAAACTGGGGCCAGAAAATTAAAAAAGAGTAATTTCCTTCTAATATGTTGCTTTTTATGATTTCCATTATACCGCAGGTTCAAACCAGCACATCCAAGGAAACCATTCTGACCACAAAAAAGAGATGATTTACATTAAAGTTTTTCCCTAGAATCAATAACCCAACACCAGAACTAGAAAACTTAAGTACATCTTCCTGCTTTTCTACCTCATGCTCATCTCTGAATTTGCTTGCTGGTTTGTATAATTGCAAATGCATTATGGCCACCTTACCACATGATCCTTTAAAATTGTATTGTAACTGATGCATGAGAATACATTCTTATTTTTGTGTCATAGAAAATATTTAATATGAATGTCACAAAGCCTGGTAACATTCTAAGTCTGTATATATTTATAAGTGTATTAACATTTCAGAGCATCCTGTTGAAACGATCCTGACAAAGATCCTTATAATCCATCATGTCAAGGTCCTGCGACTAGGTAGGCTTCAATAATGTTTTAAAGCTCATAAAAGATACTTCAAAATGCATGCGCAAAGAAATCATGTAATAAACTCCTGATATCCTATACTAAAACTATCCTAGTATTCCTCCACAACTGGTGCATTACAGGAAAAAAATAATAGAAAAAACAGTTACATGACAGAAATTTGAGGACAATCTTTTGTAAACTCAAAAATCAGCTGAAAGACTTGGCCTTAAGTACTTAACATTCTAAATTACCCTTAAGTTGGAATGATAAATCAAAGCCTATCAGCTCTCATGTTTTAGCTCAGCGGCCTCCTTTGCGAAGGCTGGGCTCACCCTCGCTCAGCATGAGCCAAACAGACCCACAGGAACAATCCTCAAACTTTAGAAATAAATTAGTATTAAAATCCACTCAACTTGAAGTAACCATTGGAGCGGAGAATGATTACTCAAGGCAAATGAACACTTATATGAGTATTCTGGAAATTAACAACACTAGAGAAAAAAACATGACCTAATAGTCACCAGAAAATTCCAAATATTCATTATATACGTTACCCAAGTTCTTGTACATTTTTTATCTAGACATAAAGCCCAATCTAAATGTTATACATCCTAGGACCAAAGCTTTGTTTTAGTCTCGCATGTAAAACCATATTGAACTTTGTTACTGATGTTTATCCTACATAAAATATTGAGAATTAAAAAAGAAAAAACACTACAGAAGTATTTTTGTGTGTAAAAAGAATTTTTAAAAGCCTTTTCAAAAAACTAAAATGCCTCAAAAAAGAGTAATATATGTGTGTAAGAGTATTTGTATTGCCAAACTAAAAAGGCAATCCTGATTTTATTGGAAACGTCATGCAGTTTTTATGTACTCAGACTTGACTTCAAAGAAGACCCTGTCAGTGGAATGAGCACACGTTACTCTTCTGTGAAATCCTACAAGAACACAGATGGCAGTGAGACCATGATCTTAATTGATTTAAGGGGCACTTTTATGTCTTTAAAGCAACATTTCAGAATGGCAAAAATCAGATCCTTTATGCAACACGTAAGCACGCCATAGTATACTTGGTTTTATAGTGCCCAATAGCACATTGATTGGCAACACACATAAAGAGTCAAGTGAGATATAAAGCAACTTGGGAAAAAAGTAATGCAAAGAGTACCGTATCATAAATGAGGAGAAGCTGATCATAATTGATTTCCTGGCAAAGGAGTTAGAGCAAAGGCAAAAGGAGTTTAAAAAAAAAAAAAAAAAAAAAAAGTTTATCTGGAAAGAAACACAAAACTGATTTCTCCATCCACCCACAATACTACACAAGTATAAACATATAAAACAGAACATGGTGTTACTGGCCACCCCTAGAAAAGTGACGACAGCAAGCTTACAACATCGGTGGTTTGGTACCTTTTAAATGTACGTGCTGATATGAGTTATCTTTATTGTTCAAAAATTAAAAAGAACTACCCCAGGGCATCATTTGCACCTGTTCATTTCTCAAAGGACAGATCCACACCAGTCACATGCGTTTGCTCACTGGGTGGGTTCCTTGGAGCTCGCTATATATACTTTGATTAGTGAATTTTTAATTACACTTTAGCCTGTTAGCACTATGGGGCCAATAAAACTAAGAGAAATAGAACTAAATTCTTTTCATTCAACACAACTGTTAACTAAACACCAATTAATTACACCCACACAAGCCTAATGAAGATAATGGGGTTGCAGAGAGTTCACCGATGGTATGAAGTGGCTTGCAGTACCCTAACCTTAATCAGTTAAATACTTCATAATAGGTAGGATCATAGGATAAGTCATCCTATTTCTGCGTACTTGCAGTTCCTATTACTGTTAATGGAAATTACACGACTCTGCAGATAATTCATGCAACGTTCACTGATTGTGTTACCATTTTAAATGGTAAATCTGGAGGGGAATCCTTACTAGCATTTTAAATTGGTAACTAAGAAAATAAATAAATAAATAATAAATAATAAATAAATAAATAAATAAATAAATAAAAGAGTGCATGGTAATTTTAAAAACTGAGTATTAATCTCCTTTGATTCTTTGTTTTCCTGAAAGTAGCAAGGGAAAATTGACAAGCTTCTTTTCCCAGACTATTAATCAATACCAATACAGCAACAAACAATGCTGTTTCTCCACAACACATTTTGAAAGGCGGAAGGTGGGAAAGTGAGTTAAAGGCAACTGAAATTTAGCAGTAGATACCTCTGCCAAATCACATCATATTGTCTAGTAGAAGCTGCCCACAAAGCATCACACGGGCACCATTGCCTCAAGAAGTATGCTCTTACAGAATTAATACGTAATTAAAACTTAAATACTGGGGGGCAAGCCAACAGGAGCAATGCAGGTCTGAGTCCTCTCAGCCAGCAAAACCTCACCAGATATTTATTCTCTTTCCCCTCTTTAAGGCACGGCTAGTGTCAGTTTAAAAACTTCTTCAGAGGAAAAGGCTGAGGAAGAAAAAAAAAAGGAAAAAAAAAAAAGAGGGTTTAACTCTCTAGAGAGGTACCATGCTATTTCTGAAGGATGTGAAAGGGAAAGAAAATGATTCAGTAGGGATTTTTCTTCATTATCGCCCAACCCAGAGAAGTGAACATACAATGAGCAAAGGTCTACACATATTGATTTTAGAGCTGAGGAAGTGTGCAGCTAACAGCTTTTTAAGTATCTCCATTTTCAGTTACTTCAACAAAATTACCAATGAACAGTGTAACAAAGTGAAAGTTTTTGTAGGAAATTGCAGACTAAAAATGATCATTTAGGTTGTGAAACGTTTCTTTTCATTGAAAGTAAAGGGCTTTTAAATGCAGAAGTAGAGTTACTGGGGCATTTTGCAGCGTTATCCTCACTAGACATTTCACAAACCATAATCTGTCTCTCTTTCAGGATGATAATCTTACACAATTTCGTTGTTCGGCGACTTTTAAAACTAAAGAGCGCCTGCCCCAGGCATTCTGACTTGGAGGATCATCACCAGCCCCTGAGGGAAGAGCCAGCGCGGCACGAAGGCAAGGCACCAGCCAAACACCGCCCCTCCCTGTCGCCGGGGGGCAGCCGTGGGAGCCCCGTTGGTGCCGTACGACCCCCGTTAGTGCCTCAGGACGCCCGGGGGCAGCCGCAGGACCGCCGGGGGCGCTGCCGCCCTCACACGGCGCTGCCTCCCCCCCGCCTCGGAGCCCGCCCGCCGCCATTCACCCCTCAGCGCCGCGCTTCCCGCCTCAGGGCCAACGGCTCTCGCGAGAAGGGGGGGTGAAGGAGGCGCCGCCATTTTGTCGCCGCTGTCGGCGGGCGCTGCCATGGAGCCGTGTGGTGGCGGCAGGCGGCTCAGGGGAGCTGCGGAGGGAGGCGGCGGAGTATTACCGGGGCCAGCGGGTGCCGCAGCGGGTGGAGGAGGCGCTCAACGCCCTCTTCCCGCTGTGCCCCGCGGATCTCTACGGGGCCTTGGTACCGCCCGGGGGGGTCGCAGTGCGTGAGGCGCCCGCCCCGGCTGCTCCTGAGGGAGGCCGCGGGGCTGCTGCTTGCCTCAGGGCGGGCGGAGGCTTGGCCGAGGTTCCCCTCGGCTCCCTCAGCCCCCACCTGCCCGTAGGCCCCTCACGGGTGTCCTCTGGCAGCCCCGGCTGTGCCCTGCCCTGGTGCCCCCTGTAAGCCGAAAGGCTGCTGCTGAGAGGAGCCCGAGGTTTCTGTGGCTAAAAGTACACTTAAACACGGGGCGTGCCGCTGCCTCGGGCAATGCTCGTGATGTTTCGTTCATTTTTAGCTCTTGGGGACCCTGGCACGATGATGCTGGTGCAGATGTGCAGCATCACAGGTTTTTGTTGTATGCTGGTTGCTGGTCTCTGCAAAGGGAGATTGCTTGGCCTTGGGAGGCTGTTGGTGGGCATCCCTAGTAAGATAAAAGTGCTGCTCAGCACGCTGATGCCATGGGCCAGTTGCACTAAGATACTGAGCATGTTTCAGCTCTTGGAAAGAGTGTGGGCCTCACACCAGTTATATCTGGTATCAACTTGACAAAATACCATAAGGAGTCCTACTAATAAAACATCTGTTAGTGGTGATACAGCAACTGCAAGCAATACAAATAGGGTGTAACTCTTAAAAAAAATAGTATGTGAAAGTGTCTGTGGAAATGAAGCATTTCACAGTTTCCCATCTCCAAGTGTTTTGCCATCACCACGGGAAGATGAATAGCACAATGATTGTTTTTGTTATATAGTGGAAATCCAAGTAAGCCTTGGGCAAATGCCTAGTTTCTGGGAGGGCTAAGGAGATACTTGATGATATCCATCACTAGCTTTGTAAAATAAAACACATGTTCATCTAACCTGGATGTGACTTTGGACTTTCCATTTAAGTTGGATCCATTCCCTGGAATGATTCTTAAGCAGATGCTGTAGAAGTAAATGTACAGTGTAACACGAGTGTGTTGAAGATTGGGACATAGATTTGCTCAATTATGAATATAATCTAAATTTGTTTAATGGAATAAAAAACCTGTTTGCATAGCAACTGACTTCTGATGAGTTCTTTCTCTTTCATTTAAGGCTAACTACTTGTCTACATTTTCAAAAGCTCCAGTAATATGCAAATTAGCTGGAAGAAAAGTTCTTGATGGAGTTGGTAAACCAACATTAGAAGTGGAAATATACTGTACAGTTAAAAACTATGAGAAGGTATGAGCTCCTTCTTCCTGTTTTATTTATTTAATAAGGCAGTATCAGGGAGATGTACTATTCTACTCATATCCTAATGAACATTTTAGTTTGTATCTTTAGTGAAATGATAAATCTCCGTGACTCACCAGTTGAGTACATAATGTTGTATGTACTCAAAAAATGTCATGGAAAAAAATGTCATGTTAGCTGCTGCCAACAACTATGAAAACTTTAAGCTTTGTGAATTACACAGTACTTTTTGGACGATACTTGTTTACTTTGTGAGTGTAATGTGACAGAGCATTTTTCTATGTTAAACTTTTGTCTGTCTTAATGTATCATGTTGCATTTCCTTACAGCCATATCTAGCCAATGTAAGTTAATTTACCATCTACATTTTTCTTTTGTTTTTGTTTTCAGATCCTTATATTTCTATTTTTGTGGCAATGTTAAAGAAAGTATAGTACAGTGTCAACAAAGTAGAGGTGAAGGAACTTTTACTTTGAGATGATGTGGGTGATAATGAAGTCAAACATACATCTCACCTGCATTTAAACTATGACTCATTCCATTCTTGATCCCTAAAAGGAGCCAATTTAAAGAAATTAAATGTAATTTCAAAGATACTCACAGTATGTAAAGTTAATACTATTAATACAGGCAGCTCTGTGATATCTGTAAATGATGTTTCCATTGGGTGAGTTTTGTAAGTATTGTTCACCCTTCTGTGGTACAGAAAGGTAAGCTTAGAATACCTAAATAAGACAACAAGTACATGATCGTGAGTGATAGCATTAACCATAAATGCTGATGAATCATGGTACAACAAGCTAACAACAACTGCAATAGAAGATGTTATAATGACAGTTTGATCTTTAAAATAACTATTCTGATAACAAAAGCATATGTAAAGCAGATCTGTCACAAGGTTTTTGCCTAAGTAGTTACAATTTAGATGGAGAAACTTGAATAAGGTCTGTGCATACCAGAGTGTAAGAGACCAGGAAGGAGGTGCTGGATGAAAAGAGATCAGTTAAGTGGAACAAACAGTAGTTCTGCAGATAGGTGCTTGTAGAGCTGGTAAGGACATCTGCTTCTTATTCTTTCAAATGACATTTTCAAATTGGAAATGAAATAGTGCTTTAAGTTTTTTTACGTTATTTTGCAGAGGATTTGTTCTGCTATAATGTCTTCTCATTCTCATGTACCCGAAAATACTTCACCTGAAATAACTGAAGGTGATGAGAAAGAAAGAAATGACACTGTTACCACTGCTGTGGAATGGGTGAATGAATCCCTGAACACAATGTTAAGGGACTTGAAGCCTACTGACCAGTGTGAAATTGATAAGATGCTTGGGTAGGTCTTGCATGTGATTTTATGTTACTGCAAAACAGGTCACTGCATTTGAAATACTGCTAATTTATATGTAAATAAAAAACATATACAATAATGCTTCTAATTTTTTTGTATATTTTTAGGATATGAAGTGCATTTAAGATATATTATGGTATATTATTTCCTGCTGCTTCATAATCATTATATGAAAATTAGTATTTTTTAATAAGAATTTATAGGGATTCGATTTTTTTTGGGGGGGGGAATAGGAGGCTAAGAAAAAATGCTTGAACATGTTAATGAGTGTAAGAAACTCATTCAGTGTCAGTTTAATCTGGGGGGCAGGTTTTTCAGATTACAATTCTGCTTGTTCTGTTCATTGCACTGCAGAAAAAAAAATGTATGGAAGGCCTTTGCATTATATCTTTTGCACTGAGCTAGATGCACTGAACAGATAGATAAAGACATACATACATACATAGTGTTTTCAGGATCTGAGGGTTTTTTCTGGGCAGGGTACTCCTAAGGGATTTTTATTTGGAGTAATTAGTTTCCTTTAGCGGGTATTCTACGCTTCCGTGGAAACAAAGTTTTTCTAGTAAAGAGTTGTATATATTGTTTCATACAAATATTTCATAGGGGAATCTCAAGTGAAAATGAATGGCCGTGTTTTTCCATTAAAAATAAATATTTTTGTTTATAAGAAGAAAAGCCCTGCGGTAAAAACATCACATGTATCTGAATGTATTTTTACTAGCGTTAGAGAAACTACCTGGCAGTGTTGTGGCCTCCTTCACCCTGGAAGCAGTGGTGTTCCTGTCAGCTGCTTGGCTGAATGCAGTGAGGCTTTCCTGGAGGGGTAGCTGTTGGGTTGCCACACTTAACACAAACTGTGGCAAACAGACCTAATTGCCTTCCAAGTGGATTAGCTGGAAACCTTTCTCAAGAGAATAAGAACTCATGTTGAAAGAAATTCTTCCCTCTGATGTGAATCTAAATTAGGCAAATACATTATTTAACATTACCTTACATAGCTTATGTGCTCCATTTGTCTGAATTGGGTGTCTGTGTGACCATGGATGCAATTTCCACTTCATGCATGTAGTTGAAATACAGCCACTCAGAGCTTGCATCCACCCAGATGACAGCGTACAACTGACCTCTTGGATGAGCAGTTTAGGCTAAATTGTTAAATGTCATAAAGTTATGACAGGATTACAGTCTGTTACTACCCATGCAATGCAAATTTATCCTTCACACTAAGATACGTTATACCTGCTTATGGGTTCTTTTTGTTTACCCAGTGATGCAGGTACCTACCAAAAGACAGTCATTTATTGACTTACTCAGCTTCACACAACAAAACCATGGCAGAAACTCAAATAGATGCTCTTAATCCATCTCCCAGCATCTTCCTTAGCAAGTATACTGTGTCTACTTTTCACATGCCTAACACTATTTTGAACCAATAATCTTTATGCCTTTTCTCTCAGTGAATACTTTAGAAAAAAGGTTGAAGAAAAAAAAGAAATTCAAAAGGAAGAAGAGGAAGAAGCAGCCCCTCTTTCCTGTGCTCCATCAGCTCCATCGGCACCATCTGGGAAAAAAAAGGCAGCAAAACCAGGTTTTAGTTTATTTCCTTTTATTATTTTCTGTAAGACCTGTGATACTGATATTGATAAAGATGCTAAAATACTTCTGTGGACACTAAAGAGTAGTGTCACATGTTTAAGGGTTTAGTTACTCTGTCCTAAATCTTCTTTCTGCTCACAGCAGTTTCTCCTTCAGAAATGAGAGGGGGAAACACAGTTTTCTCATCACTCGTTTGCATTTGTTGAACAGAGTTTCTGCCTTTGTCTTAGACAGGAGGTTATTACTCTTCAGAGTGAGGAATAAGAATGGAGGAGGATGCAAATGAAGAATAAAAATGAAAATGATAAGGAAAGAAAAGAATCATAGAACTGAAAAGGAAAATGGAAATAGAAGGAAGATAGAAGTTGAAAAGAATGGAAAGAGGAAGGGAGAAAGGGAGAGTTGTGGCTAACACTGACAAAAGGAGGAAATAAAGGTGAAAACTGAAAAAGAAAAAAGGAAGGGGATGACATGGGAAAGACAGGAAATACAGAGTGAAAAAATAAGTAAGCAGACAGTGATACTGAAGAAACAAAATGGTGCAAGAATAGAGAAATATGATTACTATATATAGCAAAAAAAAAGTGGAGGGGAGAGCATGCTATGTTAACTCCATGTATGCATTATCCTCAGGAAAAAAAGATCTTCCTGTCGTCATTTATTGGAAGGACATAAAATTTTGGCAAATTATCATTTACTCACCAGTTTAGTTTGAACTCTCATAAAGTACTAGCAAGACCTCTCAATTAATATGTTCTATGTGTGTACTCTAAGTTCACCTTTTACCTGAAACGGAACATCTGAAGCTGTCAGGTCCATCCAGATATCATCATGCTGTATATTGTATGCTTAGTCAAGGTTCTGCTGGTACACGTTACTTGTTTTCATTCATTTTAATTTCTTTTTATTTGATTGTGACATTGACTGCAATAAGATTGCTGGAACCAATATCTGAGTATTAGGAGTCAATGATTATAATCTATTGTTGTGACAGGAGGGCAGTAACGGATGGCAACTTCCAGCAGCAGGTGCTTTCCTTTAGCTCTTTATCCTCAATGTAAGAGGTACAGAAGTTACGTGCAGCATGTGAATGATGTATAGTGTAATCTGCATATCCACTTAAAATCCGTAGGCATATTTTATTGCCTATCAGAGTTGTATCCTGCAGCATTTACTGAAAACTTCCACAGCAAATTAACATGTGTATGTCATTCCTATTAGGAACAAAAGTAGCTGGTCAGATTTACAAAAAAAGTACCCAATGCATATGATTTTTGAGAATCTGACAGCTTAGTTCAGTTTCATGTAGGCAATAAGAAGTGGTAAGAAGCGTAGGTAACAAGTATAGTAGTGGGAACTGCTGGGTTTCCAGCATTTTGACAGAAGTTATGCTACTGTATCTGAAAGGGAAGTAAGCTCTTTTGAAAATTTAACAAGACTACGTGTATGGAATACTTAAAAGACCTGATCAGTTCTCTTTCTGGAAAACCCAACTGTAATAGGCCTAATTTTTTTTACGCTCATTATTAGAAGAAATCAAGTATGCATACTCCCAATCAGCTTATAATGTAATATTCCAAGATGTTTATGCAAAAGTTGAGCATATAAGGAGGCCAATAAAGACTACTGAAAACATGTTTATGAAAAGAACCTGAAAAATGGTATGACATTACTGCATATAAACGTAGATTTCAGTGGCTGAAAGATTTCTAATGGAGATTTGAATCACATTTGGAATCAGAGTGAGGACAGATACTTTACTTACTTGTAAGGTCATTTCATATAAAACAAATGACAAGTTTAAGGTAAAAAATGAACCAACTCTTATGTTATGTATTGACTACACTACCAAAACTTGACTTTTTATTTACTTGCACAACCACGGTACGTAAGTACATGTTTTAAACCAATAAAATGTTTTGCTACTACTCTCTGTCTCACAGGGAAGAAGACGTCGAGTACAGAGAGAACACTCCCACCTGCAGAACCCATCGAACCGGTGCTTTGTGGCAGCTTAGCTATTGGGGGAACATCACTTGCTGTAGCTAAGGCTGGTGCCACTATTAATGATATCCCATTGTATTTACATATAGCACTGCTGAAATATAATCAGGTGTGTGGGACTTTGGTCATTTTGTTTATTTTATTCCAACTACCAGAATTCTAGAATTTTGAAATCAGGAGTCCCTCACGAAAGTGGGATTAAATATACCTCATAAAGTACATCCATAAGACAGTTGCCTATAGCAGGCTTTGAACTGGCCCTGTTCCATAACTAAAATATACATTTATATATATATATATATGATTGTTTTTTAACACTTTTTTTTTCATATGGTGCTCCCAATTACAGGATTCACCTAAAGAAATGACTCTGCCACGTCCAATGATTACTCTGTTGAACTGTGAAAAATTTTCACCTGCAAAACTGAAATTAGTGAAAGAAGTTATGCTCATACCACCAGCTCAGTTATCACTCAGACAGGTACTGTTTCATTTTTTTTAATAAATATAAATGTATATTCTATAAATTTCACATAAAGTATATATGTATGTGAGTATATAGATCTTTTCAATACAATCTTTAGAATCTATATTTTTAATTTTTTGTTTACTCACAAGGTCAAAGTTCTAACGAATGTTAGTGCAGAGTTCTAACACAAGGAACATTAAAAGAAGTAAAGACGAAGATTTAAATGAAGATACATGAAGATTTTAGGTTTAAAATGCATGTGTTAATATACAGGAAAAAATGGTGCACTGAAGAAGATGTAAAAGAATTCTGTTATACAACAATAACAGCCTAGTCCTTTTTAAAATGTGATTTTTTATTAGTAGATTATAAATAGTGTGAGTTGATCTGCAGTGCATACAACACAGCAAAACTCAACAAATTCACAGCAGAGCCTTAAAATCTTTGGGAACAGATTTCTTTAAAAATTAAATAGTGAAGATAGACAGGAATACAAAGCAGATCAAAATCTATTCAAGGGGCAAGAAGGATGGATGAGACAGACTGGGTCAACACCCTCTTTTTGTTTAGCCATGTGTTGCATTAAAGAATGTATCTGCACAAGATGCCTACATTAGGGCTGTGATTTCTACTTTGTATGCTGGTGACCTGAACAAATAGCTGAGCTCGATTCTCTTTCTTTTTCCTGTTCCTTTAGATTTTTAGAATTGTCACCAAGAGCTCTTAATAAGGTTACCAGTTCTGTACCTCTCAAAGACTTAATGCCTCCTTGTGCTCATGGGAAAGTAGCAAGCTACTTGCTGCAGTGCAGTAAGCATAGCAGGTCCTCCTGCATTGATATGTTGTCAGCTGTAACTGACTTCTGCCCCCTTCAGTTTGCCTTTACTGGCACAGTTTTAGAAAACGTGAACTGTGATTTACAAAGTTAGCATTAAACTTCTCCTAACTCAGCAGAAAAGGAAAAACAGCCTTGTGTTAAAAGCAGTGGATTCATCTAATTGGAGTGTTCTTCCATTCCCCAATGTAAAAAAAAAAAAAAAAAAAAAAAAGACAGCGATTCTCTTCCTGCTTCCTGGAAATGTTGTCAGAGTTTCCAGTTAAGAACTCTTAGAGAAATCACAATCATGGACAGTGATTAAGATTTTATTTTTTTTAAGACTTTATATTAAGGTCTGCATTCAGAAGTGTGTTCTCTTTTCTTAGTTAAGCTGTTAGAGTGAAAGAACTTATCTTTCTTTTGAAGAATACTGTTGTTTCATTTCAGGGCATAGAAAGAGTCCTGGATATACAGAAAGAAGTGATGAGACTGTTGGAGCCTGCAGGGAAAGTGGTACAATAAAAATGTGTTAACAATGTGATATACTTCATTTGACAGTTCTACTACTATTGTCTGTTTGAGTTTAAACATAGAACATTTAGCACGTTATCACGTTTAGTCTTGTGACACAGAACAGAAGATTTGTTTCTCTGACAGATGAATAAAACATTGGCCATTTAGTGATATTAAATTAATGAAGATAGAATAAAGCATTGTTCCAGGCATAGGAAGAGTTTCTACTTCATTATTTGAACCAGGAAAGGTCCACTAGGAAAGGACAGTATCAGAATGAACATACGGGTCCTGCAAAGTCTCACACACACGTAACATATATTTGTTAAGGTATTATTGCAGTAGAATACCAAGCTCGGTATTTGTATTTGCTTTTTGCAAAGTGAGGTTTTTAGATTTCTCCTAGTACAGGCTCTAGATTATCATTTGCTAGAACCCTGGTATTACTGATAGGTAGGTGGAAATATTTTGAAAAACAGATGATGGTTAGGGTAATGCCAAGATAGAAATAAGCATTTGAAATGAATTACCACCACAAAATAAAACCAGATAGTTGCTTATAATTTCTTTGTCTTGAATGCTATATTCTAAATTAAATACTTGCAATCTCTTTAGACTTAAAATTCAGAGTTGTGGTCTAAAAGATAGAGATTTTTCTTTTTTAATCTAATATCTCTTTGTCATTTTGGGGCTTTTCCATGGCATTTTTTCACTGTTTCTTTCTTCCTACCTTCCCAACAGCCCAGTCCTCAACTAGCAGACAGTAAGAAAGGCAAAGCACATAATACAGGGAAGAAAGCTCCGGTAAGAAAAGAGATTTTCATTTTAAGCCTTCAACAAGGTATTAACAACAGCAGGGAACCAAATGTTCTTAAGAAATGAAACATTAATCTACATTACTACTTTGGAAAGGTCAAGGCAAGACTTTTAAATACTCGAAATGCCCATATTTTACATAGTAATTTAGATGCCTCTGCCTATACTTTGCCTTCCTGCAGAACATTAACATAAAGGGAATTCTTCTGGAACCTAGACATTTTGCTTACATGGAAAACCTTGATAAGTCATCCAAATGTGGGCCTGTAGCACCAGCAGAATACATGCCCTTTGTTCTTGTAAGCCCAAAACTATTACCTCCAAGACTTGCATATTGTGCTCTTTGCTAACTCTGGAAACAACTCCCATCTTAGTCATGCTACGTTAAGTTCCCAGTTCCTCTGAGAGATTATTGATAATGGCAGATAGGAACAAGTAGCTGAAGGGCAGCACTTGCAGGGCATTATTTTATCTGATTCAAATGATCTTTGTTGCTGTTTGTTGTTGTTGGTTTTTTTTGTTTGTTTAACTTTGAAATCTGTAGTTTATTGATGAGTTTTCAAAAAAATAGCTGGAAATGCCATGCTGGTTTTGCTTTCTTTCTGAGCTAATTAAAATATTACCAGGTAAGAACTGTTGCATTTGTGGAGTATACAAGACAGGATGAGCAGAAGTTTTCACACTGTTTTGTTGCTTAAACAACACAAAATCTGTCATTGCTAATCAGCTAGCCACTATTTTTCTGGTGGCTAGTTTCTACATTCTTCTCTCTTTATGTACTGCAGTAGGAAGCTAAAGTAATTCCTTAAAGTAAACCTAAGGAAGTGATGCATTAGATTCTCTGAAAAAAAAAAGAATTTATTTCAATAGGAGAAAACTAAAGGAGATAGAAGTGGGACTGAATTTTAAAGTGATAAAACATCATGCTAATTTGATTTTTTTTTTGAGAGGAAAAAAAGGACAAATGACAAAATAGGCAGTGAAAGAAATCATTAAAACAAGAAGTTGCACCTGTTTTTTCAGTGTGTTGGTGTCAGAATGAAGGACTTTCTACTAAAGTTTCCTAGGCTTTTCTTTACAATAGTGACAACTTCATTTTAGTCAGACTTATTTTGAGCCTGAAGCAATTTTTGTAAACCAGTACTGGCCATAAAAATGGGAACTACATGATTAGACGCATTTCCAAGGATGATACGTTTTCTATCTATTAGCAGTTGGTAAACCTTCATTCATAGAGAATTGTCCTTAAAACTCCTACTGCAATTTCTGAGAACAGATTTATATTTTGATAACTGAAGGTAGGTTGTAATGACAGTGAATACATATGTGACTATTATTTATGTGTAAATAGATTATTTTTGTTTTATTTCTAGCCACCGGCCTTAAAAAGAGTATCACACTTAGGTTGCCTAATAACAGGATGGGATAATCTAGAACAACCTCTACTCCTAATGCAAACAGCTTGCAACAACATAGGTCTGGAGCTAGGAACAGACATGTGTTTAGCAATAAATTGTGCTGCTCATGAATTAATGGATTACGTAAGTTATTTTCAGTATATGATTTGTTGGTTTATTTTAAATAAATAGAAATTTGTTAACAATTTACTATTGTATTGCAAACTCACTTAGAAGCTTCCAAATCTGTTTTCCACAAGCAAACCAAAAGTTTTGTCTCTGCATTTATAAATTATCTTTGAATCAGTCCTACAAGTGTAGCAGATACGTTACTGGATTGTAAGAGCAAGGGGACAAGCCACGCAGACCTCCTTCCAGTCACCCAGTGCAGTGGGAGCCGTGAGAATGCATTCCTCCTCTGCAGCTGTACCAGCATACTGATGCACCTTGCCTGGAATAAGGCTCAGTGGACCAAGGCAACCCCCCTTTATGCCTTGTGTCCTGCCTGCAAAAATCTGTTACTTTCATGATTTAACCTTTACTTTCAAGTGACGTAAGCCTATCTGCATCAGCCAGCTTTATTCTTTTTCTCTGTTTATTAATTTGTCAAGTTTATTTAATATAAAGTGTATTTATCTCCAGCTGAAGTCATCATATTCTTGCCTCTATTTCCAAGATCTTTTTTTTTTTTAAGCAGAAAAAGAAACTTGCTATTCTATTTGGTTTAGTATTCAATGAAAATTTGTGTTTAGGTATACGATATCAGCAAATCTTATACTAGTAGTATATTTTGTGAAACAGTTGCTCGCCTGACAATCTATGATGTCTTAATCCTATTTCAGAATGAGCAAAATCTTAATGAATGAATTACCAGTAATTACTATCAGCAGTTCTGTAACTTTGTTATTGTACTGTTAAAGTCAGTAAAGCAGTGTTTTTTCTGGCACAATTTGACAGTGCCAGTGACCCTTGATCATCCTTGTATGTTGCAGCTTATACTTCCCATAATGATGAGACTACTTGAAAACTTTTTTTTTTTTTCATGAGAGGACAAAGAAGCAAGGAAGGGTATTGTCTTACTTTTGAGTACTGAGGGAATGCATCTTTCTCACAACAATATTTTTAATGAAAATAAGGAATAAGAATTAACCTTTTTTTTTTTTTTTTTAAGTACAAAGATTTTTCATACAAGATAAAATAAAAATACCAAATACTGCCAATTTTATGACAAAGTTGTGTAAAACTCAGCATTGCCTATAAAATGCTGAAAGAGATCTCCCTTGTTTTGGGAATAATATCTTTGGCATGAGACCACTGCAATGTACTGTTACTTTAGGCAAATATTTCTGTAACAATGTGCACATAGACATAGAATAAAGTAGACAAGTGGGTATGTACTTATTGAAGAACACACAGTCCACTGCCTTCATGGAGATGCTAGTGTTACAAGACCTGCAAGCTTACATTACTTTTTTTTTTTTTTTTTTTTTTGAAGTATTACCACTCTTATCTTTTGCATTTTTTACTTACTAGGTTAAAGGGAAATATGAAATACTTACTGGAACATTCAAAAGTCCTGATGAAATGGTTGACATGTATGTGGAACTGATTAATAAATTTCCTTCTATTACTGCATTAGTAGATCCCTTAAGGAAAGAGGTAAGATAGTTTATGTGAGACCACTGAATTTTTCACATTTTTACCAAACATGCAAAATATGAAGCTTCCATTTCCAGAGTGTTTAGGGACAGAAATACCAGTATAAAAATATCTGTATATCTGCATATAAAAATATCTGTATATGTGCATATCTGTAACTGGCAATAACATTTTTCAAAATGTTTGACCTAATTTCTGATAGAAAATAATCTTGGCATGAACAGAATGTGGATAGTACAAATATTTTAAGGAATAACAGGAAAATGCTTTTTATTTTTATTTTTTTTAACTGATTGGGGTTGCTTAACCACAGTAATTTTTATTACATTTTCCTTCTTTTTTAAGTAAATAAAATTGTATTGTAAAATCAAATTACAAAATTCAAGTGATATATAAGTGTTATTACATTAGACAGGAGAAACTAAAAATTTTGACATAGTTATATGTTTCTTAGAACAACTGAAAAAAAATTCACATTGCAGCTATTCTTTACAATTGAGATTTATACCCGAAGCCAGAACAAACCTGTAACTGGCACCATTGCTCAGCAGAATTTTAAAAGCGTATTTTATCACTGTGATCAAAGTTCTAGAAGTTAACTGAATATGGGCAATAGATTACAACAATAAAGTAGAATATTCTTAAGCATGTTACCAGATTATTGATGGATGAAAGAAATTGCACAACCTCAAATCTTAGCATTTATGCCTACAATTCAGCTTCCATATATTACAAAAAAGATAAAAATGTAATTGAAGCAGAAGCTACAATTGCGACCTAGATACTACAGATGCACAACATAATAAAAACTTATTGTTGCTGTGGAATTGTACACCTTTTTTTAAACACAAGTATATGACTTTTGTTCTTCTTAAAAAAAAAAAAAAAAAAAAAAAAAAAAAGATGAATATGAATGAAGGGGGAACCAGAGTGTCTTTATGAGTCTGCCAAGTGCCTGAATCAGTAATTCTGAAACAGATGATCTGCAAAATCCAGTTTTTAGCTGAAACTTTAAAAGCTTATTTTTCAAGTATCAGTGTATATTGTTACCTCTCTTACTCTAGGCAGCCTTGTTTCCATGCACTGTTTCAAACTGACTCCTATATTCTAAAACACCAGATTATTCCCCACTCCTGCCAGGGCTGCAAACTTTCTTGAAAATTCTTATGAAAAAATATAGTTGCAATAGTCTGCAGAAGAATTGCAACAGATAGTGAAGTCAAGTTTGAAATAGAGTACTGTTAGGGAAAACGCCTCTCCTCCTCACCGCCTCAGAAATCTGCAAATTTTACCTAAGCCACATCCTTGCCACAGATAATTAGGTCCTTGAGGATTAGGTCTGGTACTAATTCAGCAATTCCAGACAGCAGACCACTTTAGTTCTTAAGTTTAAGCATTTTCCATGCATCAAAAACTTCATTTTCTGTTACATAGGGGCTTTGAAAGTTTCATAGGAATGGACTTTCATACAGATTGCAAGTATATAGGTACAAATTTGTGTGATCCATACACCACGAATTATCATTATCAGAATTATTAACTAGAAAATTAATGTGTATTTAATATGAGAACTTTGCATGCTGTGGACATAAAGAAAAATAATTTGTATTTTTTTATTTCAAATTATTTACACATTTTTTTATCCTCTATTTCGCTTTAAATCTCAGTGCATTAAAATCAAGAAACAAAGACCCTAAAAATGGAGCTTTGCTAGAAAGAGAGTGTTGTATTTGGCTGTTCCCTGTAGGTCTGATCATCCTCTCCACATATCTGTCACTGAGTCTATGGCTGCCTCCTGTTTCCTTATTTTATAATCAAATAAAGATTATGACACTTCACATATTATCACAACAATGAGACCTTTAAATAAAACAATGGACAATTATTTTATAGTCCATGAAAAATAAATACAAGTCAGGAAAGGTAATTAAAATAGCAAACTCATACAATTAATTTGAAATATTTAAAACTTTGCCTGTGTGTAACTACCTTAGATTAATTCCAGATTAGAATATTTGTTTTCTAGGAAAATCTTAAAATTCAAACAAAATTCCAGTATTTTATTTTTATTTGCTTAACAGATTTAAAATATAAAATGTATGCTTATATGGAGAGTATCTTTAGGATGAAAGGACAAACTAATTTTGTATTTTATTTTTTAATTTTTATCTCAATTATGGTTTTCATTCATTTTGTTGTTTTAAACTGCAGATATTTACTTGATTCTTTATGCAGGACAGACAACAATGGAATAACATTTGTTGTGCTCTTGGTTCCAAATGTTACCTGATTGCTGAAGATGCTGCCACAAATATTTCCAAAATTAAAATAGACCAGAACATGAATGTACCAATGTGCAGTGGTGTTGTCCTAAAATATATTAATCAAACCAAGGTATCAGACCTCATAGAATTTACTGGACTTCTAGATGGTGAGTAAAGTGCTTGCTTTCAAACCCTACAAGTCAATAAATAGTGTTGCTACATCCATAAATATTACATATTTTTATTTAATAATCACCACTTCAAATTTAGAAAGCGTTTGTCAGAAGAAACTAAAATTCATGTTTTGATTCACACATCTGTGTTTGGGAGCTTAAAACAGGCTCCAACTATAGCAAGTTAATATATTGTGGATGTTTTGAATGTGAATGCCCTTTGACACTGCAGATAAGTGTTGTACAGATAGCTAATAGAATTTAAATAAAACAATTTATCTGAATAATACTAATCTGAATTTTGACTAATATTAGCATTAATAATTAAGAAATCCAAACAAGTCCAAAATGTTTAAAACTGCAGTTTACATAGATGATTGACTACATATTATTGAGCCTCTGTGGTAACAGTACTTGTGCAGGTTTTTTTTTTCTTTATTTACCTTTATAGCCAAGGAATAGATGGACAAATTTAATGTATCCAATTTTATAATTTCCTTCTCCTTATTCCTTCAAAAAGCCCAGAATCACTATATCAAAGTGAGTAAATAGCAATCTAAACATTTCATGCAGTCCTGAGGGTAAACTTATAGTAAAGAAAAATCATTGCTATAGTAAAGAGCGTATTTAAAATAAATAGAACAGCCTCCTGGCTTGTAGAATACATTACCAGAAACATCAGCTAGAGATAAGTTGTAGGATAGCATGTTAGATAGTCCCTTATCCATGCTGAAAATAAAAGAAAACATACTGTTAATGCCATAGTGGTAGCAAACTAATATAGTGTACATTTTTATGAGGTGGGTTTCATTGGTTTTACTCCTGCTTGCATTTAACCATAGAATGCCCAAAGGAGGGGGGGTGGGACGAAAAAAAAAAAGTCCAATTTATGTGTCGAATTTATAAAATATATACTAATGAAGGTTTTACACTCCTGTTATATATAGGTCAAAGACATATTACCATATTAGGAAGTCCAGATGGAGAATCTTCTGATGATAGCCTTGTGGATCTGGTAAGTATTGAAAGCTGTTCAATTGCAGAATTGCCAAAATACTGCTTTTAACATGAACTATTTTTTTTAGGAGAAAGCCTGTTTCTGTGTGAGAAAGAAACATTTTACGAAATGGGCTTTTTCTAGAGTTGCTTTTTTCCCCCCACAGAGAGTTAATTGAGTCTGAAGAGAACACACAGAAAATTTGCCAAATCAGGGAGTATATTCAAAAGTGCAGAGAATCTATTTGCTTGCATTAGTTTATAAAAAATATGAGTTAAAACATTTCTGAATGGTAATAATACTGTATATAAATAAATTAACATTGATAATATTTAGTCTTTTGTATTAAAGCTACATTTACAAAAAAAATTTCCTATTGTATGCCAGTGAAAATTGTTTGCATCCAGCAAGTCTTTCATCAAGGACATTTATTATTTGTAAAAAGATAAGATTGTTAAGTTAGAAGTAGGATGCCGTGTATAATAATTACAAATGACATCACTTCCCAAACCATATAGTTTTAAAATACGCACTTTCTTGTTTTAAGGCTGTTGGACTGGGTGCCAGGTTTATCAAGTTGGGAGGTCTTTCCCGTGGAGAAAGGGTGACCAAATACAACCGCCTTCTTGCTATAGAGGAAGAACTGGCCAAGAATAGAACGCTACGTATGAGCTTCTTTCTTACTTTGTTTTCAGCTTGCAATGAATACGAGAACAAAGATTGGAGGGAGAATGATTGAAACTGCACCACAGGAGGGAAGCGAAATCAAAAGACTATAAATAAGCGCTGACAAAAAAAACCTAGGATAGCACTTGCCACAATGTATATTGTTGTCCTAATGGATTATCTGTTTACTGAATGTTAAAATAGACCCCTTCTTGAGGAGTAGCCTACATTAAGCCTTTTTCCAGAATTAATTGGTAGGAGTCTTGAAGCCCACGGTGCAAAAGGAACAAAACAAAAACCACGCATATAACACTCCGAAAAGCTGCCAAAATGGAATTTTAGGCCAAATACCCCACCTCCCTCAAGCCCCTAAACATATATTGCTAACAAAATGTCATTTCACAACCCCTTTGTGTTCCATGTCCAGCAAAACGCGTTTGGAAAGCTACAATTGCATGGTTAAGCACTAAATAAAACCCAAGAAAAATCCAAGTTGAGGATGCACATTCAACCTTAGCTACTTGTATGCATCTCTCTGCAGTTCATGATCTGCATATTCTTCATACACCATTTTCTATGCTGTTAAATACTTAACTGGTCATTAGAGCCACTTCTCACTTGCTCAGGTATCAATCAAGACAGAATAAAGGGATATAGTCTTGAGGGGAAGAAGCAGAAGAAATGAAGGAAAGGGTTTGCACAAATTTATTATGGCTAAGTAAAAGAAAAACGAAGGAGAATTAAGTCATTTGATCTCGTTTTTCATCATTTTATGTTCTATGAATGGCATATCAGCATTTCATATGCAAGCATTATATAACAAAGTATTTTTTATAAAATAGTGAAAAATATTACGAATTTTGGAAATCTCCCACTTGCTCATTTATAGCCATTATAAAAAAATAGAAACAAATTCATTTTGATGAGTTTCACAGAATGTTTTCAAAAGCAAGACAGATAATTATAAACAACTGTGACCTTGAACTGCCTCAACAATATTAATATATTCCCTATTCAAATGGAGGTAGTCTAAACAAAAGAGCTCGAGTTTGACAAATATTTAAAACTATATCTCATAAAATGAAATAGCATCAATTCCCAAAAACGTTAATCATTTGGCAGAAATAAAATCCAATAACTAAATCAACAGCAGGGAAATATCGAGATAGCATGTCTGAGCCGCATACCAAACTCTTCATTTGGCTGGGCTGCGAGCTACAAAATACACTGGAGAGCTGAGCAGTGGAGGACTCCCTAAGTGGTGCGGAGCTGGGAGGTGACACTGACCCATCAGGAGTCCCCCCCAGGACCGACTGAAGCAGGCCTGCAGCTGGGCCCAGGAGCACCACAACAACAGGAGCCCTCAGCTCTGCCTGCTGCCATGCAGACACAGACAGCTGATGGGAACCTTTGCAGGAGGTGCAGAGGAAGAAGGATGTTCAAATAAATAAATAAATAAATATAAAAAAGGGGGTAGCCAGAGCCAAGGTGGTGAGCAGCAAGGTGAGATGATTAGCAAAGAAGGAACATCATAAATACCCAGCTCAGGCTGTTGTGAATCATAGAATGGTTTGGGTTGGAAGGGAGCTTAAAGATCATCTGGTTCCAACCCTCTGCCTTCCACTAGATCTGGTTGCCCAGAGCCCAAGCCAACCTGGCCTGCACCGTGTCCTCTTCCTGCAAAGTGCAGCAGTGCTGCTCCCTTGTTTCTTAGGCCCAGACTTCTAATGGTGTTTAGAGACTTGTGTAAGCATCGTGTGGAAGTTTTTTTCTTAAAAAAAAAAAATATATATATACATATATATATATGTATATATAATATATATTCTGAGTGCCTCAGAGAACCTTTCAAGAAACTGAATCTCAGCAAACATGAGAACAGGCTTCTTTTTTCTCTTCTGTTACAGGGTCTGAAGCAAATTTTGAATTTCCTGATTTTGCTGAAGAAACACAGCCAGGAAAAGAAGCGTCTGATATAATTCCTCCCCCAGAGCAGGATTCGTTACCTCCCCAGCTCTCTCAGCCAGCCCTGCAGGTTCACAGTTTGCCTGCACAGCTCCCAGATAACAGCACACTGACCTAGGTTGCCCCCCAAATTAACTTTTGGGTAAATTTCTAAAAACAAATTTTGGTAAGCAACTCATATATTGCCTGCTACTTAATCCATTTATTTTCAAGTACTTCAGCTAAAAAAATTAAGCATTCAAATATTAGCTTCTTTTCCCAGAAGCCCATTACTTCCAGCTGAAACCAAGATAACTGAACAGTGACTACAGTTTGAAAATACTACAAAATTCTGTGCTGTATTTACAAGTTGACCAAACAAATACTTCTGTGTTAACTTCAAAACTAAATGTTTGTTTTGAGAAAGTAGAGATCTCTCTCCACACAAAGAGTAAGCTATTGACAAACAGTAAAAAAAACACATTTTACAAAAAACAAAGGCCTTGACTGTTATGCTGCTCCAGCCTCTCCCCACCCCCCCGCACAACCTCAATGCTGCTCTTAGATCTAGCCTACAAGGGAAATTTTGCTCCAGTTCGAGCTAGCTATCAATACAAGTGCATCAGTGCAAACCCCAAATGTAGGGCACAAAGCTGTAATTTGCATCAATAGGAAGCCTGCTTCAGTCTGAGGCAGGGAATAACAAGTCAACTTCACAAGGTCTGGGAAACTTGTCAGTAGTCTTTTTAATAAGCAACAGTGAAAAGATAAATAAATAATTTATATAGTAGGTAACAAATAGTTTAAAAGAATTTTTTTAAACTTCTGGTTTGGAATCATTTGAAAATTTGAACATATAATACAGCAGTAATAATTTGAGGAAAAATACATATATAAAATGTTGCATTTAAAATTCAGTGTAACAGATACATAAGTGAAAAATTAACCACCAAAACCACCGCTGCCCTCCAGAAAGCAAGGTATCAAATAAGGAGACAAATTTCCCTAAGTTTAGGAATTAAACATATTCAGTAATTAGATCAAATCCAAGATTTTCTTAGCAAACATGCAAAAACACCAAAAAAGATGTGAAACTACCACATTCGTTACTATCATTTTATTTTCAGGAAAAGCACCAGACAACTGCATGCAGAGCCAAACTAACAAACTCTGAACATTCATCCTCCAATACTATCAATGTTTCAAATCATTAAATAAAAAATAACCCAAGTGCATTCAGGTATGAGACCGCCCGATTTTCAGTTACACCGATCTTCCTTAGGTAAATCCCTGATTACATTTGTTTGTTCATTATAAAAGAATGCGATACCATGTTGGATTTAAAAAGAAACTACAATGGCAAGTGAACTGGCAGTGCAGCAGATCAGTTAGGTACCTATCTCACTGTCCTCATAGGGAATAAGTGCTGAGGGAAAGCGGGATTTGTGTTACCAATACAGAAATCCAGAGCGTTACCAAATGAAGATCTTAATGCCACCACTCTGTACTAGGTTCAAAGCAAAGGCATCTTTATTTATGCTACTGGGTTTTACCTGGGAGTTCTCAAAAACATTGATTCCAAATAACTTGCAACCCTTGAATGACTGAATCCCAAACATAGTCCACACTCACGGGAGCCTAGGATAACTTACTTTTTGCAGCAGCACATGCAGATTCCAGCTGCATCAGTACCAAACTGCTACATAAGACTAAAACAAAAACAAAAACAAAAAAACAAACAAACAAAAAAAAGGAGATAAATCCTCCTTTGAAGAGCTGCTAATCCAAATGAGAGCACCAGTCTCTATCCACAAACTTCTGCGGTTGGCTGTAGTTACCAGAAGTCTTGGTACCAAAGAGACATGCCGCACTGCCTCTGCTTTTCAGTCTGTGGGCTAGCTCTCTACTGGGGAAACTGAAACAGAAGTGTTATGCTTGTGCTTTCAATTTCATCAAAGTGGCCTGTGTGGAGAAGGCAGTAAGGAGATCCACAAGACCTTGTTTTAGGTAGGTATCAAAGTATTCTTAAAGCAATGAGTCTAAAACCTGTTTTTGTTTGTTTTTTCTTTAGTAATACCCCTATACTAAAGCTGAGTGTAATCACCTTCATAAGGTCTAACCCAAAGCTAGTTCAAGAGGGATGCAAGGGGCTCCCAGCAAGCTTTGGAATGGTCCTTTAACGAAGGATCTTCTCAATAAAAGAATAATTAAAAAAGCCTTTTCAAACACAGTTTTAAGAAAAAGGAAGGTAACGGTCAATATCTAGGAAAACATTAACCATACCTGCAAAACTGAAGTGGGAAAGGGATTTTGAGTGATACATAGTTGTTTAACACTAATGCTTGTAACAAAACTGCATACAAAAGACCATTTCAACCTGTATTACTGCAAACTTCGGAGTACAGACTGTAGCCCCTAGTAACACACCTAAGCAATTTACATGTCCAGATAATGATTCCCAAAAGTTACGGCGTTTTTCAGAACAGGTTTCAACAGTTAGAACTGTCGTCTATCTCTTTCATTTTCTCTACGTTAGTTTCTTTAGGCAGTGGCTTGCTTTTTTCTTCTCTCGTTTTGTTCTGATGCGGTGTGTTTTCAGACATCCGATCCCCACTGGTAGCAACAGGATCTAAAACTACAATGGATTCTGTCCCTTTTTCACTACTAGAAGCTTTTCTTGTAGACTCCGTGTGACTAGTCGATCTAAAGGAAAAAGAATAAATACATAAATACAGGTAACACTTCATGTATTTGGGAGAAACCATATAAATATACAGAAAAGCATTTCTCTTAGCAGTAGTGTGTGTGACCAGAATAGGTCTACCAGACTAGTGAACAGGTTATAAATCTATTACACATTACAGCCCCTACACACAGGTAGCAGTGCACAAAATGCAACAGTCACATTTCCTGAATCAATGAAGCCAGCCCTGTAAGATATTTAACAGGAGAAACAAATTTAGACTATGAAAGAATAATTTTAAAGATAATCTTAAGAATTTCTTTTCACTCCACTGGATTTAGGTTGCCCATGTCCAACACTGCAGTCACAACCAGAGAAAACGCTACCAGTTTCTGTCACCTAGAGGCTACTGGTCCTGGAAGGAGAACATGGCTTCTTCTCCACGCCTGCATCCCACTGCACAACGGGGAGCTGGTGGCACCATAACCACATTTTCTGCTGCAGCTCAGCACCAGCAGGCTGCCAGTGGTCTCACTGGGAGTGAGCACAAACCAGTTCTGAAAGTTCACCATTGGATTTGCTGAAATACAGAGGGGCTTTTAGACCTATGCTCCCTACTTCAGAACGGGGCTGTGTCTCGATGCCTACAGCACAGGTTCTCGCAGAGGAAAAGCCCTCTGAGCGAGGAAGGAAAGGTCAGAGCTACCAGGGTTATTTCTGGAGGCTGGCACAAACACAAAAAGCACTTGTTTATATTCAAAAGCTTTGTACTAGCCTTGAAAATGTGCGGGTAAACCCTTAGATTAGCTAGAATACACCTGCACAGAGCAAGGCAAACATGGGGAAAGCCTGACCTGAACGTGTCACAAGCCAGGGTGTTCCCCCACCACCTGCAGGCTGCCCTCAGGTCCCACCTTGCCATCGGGCAGGCAGGCAGCTTACACAGGGGCGTAGAGCTGCCCCTGCCCATGGTTTCAGGGCACATTGGCCCTGTGTACCTGTGGGCACGTAACCAGACGTGCATGGAGAGACTCTGCAGGGCAGTGACACCTGCACGCTCAGCACCTCTTCAGGCAGGCAGGGCTGTACGCTGTGGTACAGGTACAGGGCAGGTGTCTGCATGGCCATGGCGACAGCCACCGAAACGGAGAGGAGCAGAAACCTTAGCACAGAAAGGTCCTACATGGGCATGTGGTTCAGCTCTCATAGGAAGCCAAACTGAAGAGATGCTGAATGCAACTGTATTTAGGAGTTCAGAAGCTTTCTTTTTGTTTAATTATTGTTTTTCATGCTTACTCATAAGGAATGGCTTTCCATACTGCTAAGGTAGCACTCTTGAAAGGAAAAAGTAGAATCAACTGGAGGCCAAAGAAAGAAATTCATCTAGTGGATCCATCTGCTGTGAACTGCCCTTTATTGTGACAGTCTTTGTCCTAGAGGAAACGAGGAAGAGAAAAGAGGTCACCCCACTCAACAACTGGAGCATGGGGTTGAGAGTGTGCTGGCTCTCTCTACCTGAGTGGGGGAGAGTAAATGTACAGGTTAAAAATAAGTAAACGATCAGAGAAACCACAGTCGTTGCACTTGCCATTTCAGAAAGAATTTACTCAGTTTGCTGCTGAGATGTACTGGATATATCAAATGAAATTCCACGTTCAAGCTTTAATTACAAGAATTGTCTCTTAACATTAGAACTTCAGTATAAGTTAATTAATTCAGAAATTGGCGCTAATAGATACAGTTTCAGGCTCATTTGATTATCATCAGAAGCTAGTGATTTCATAAGGCAAATAATGCTTATTTTATGCAAAAGTTGCCAATCATTCCGGAAAATACAAGGTGGAGTATTTTGAATGTTACAGCAAATTAAACTTTTTAAAGCAGTGTAACCAGAAGAGGGTTATTTTAAAAAGTGCTACCTCTGAAAAGCTGATTGCCCAACACTATAAAAATGGTCAAAGCCATAAATGCCAAGTTCATTTTTATTTCACTTTGGAGGTAACTATCTTTCAAATCCCAACAGCTGGACTATTTAATACAATCTGGTGAATCAAAGTATAATTCTTCACTGGGCTCACAGTGGGGAGTCTGCATTAGTGTATGGCAGCATTCCAACAACTGATGCACAGCCAAACGCTCTGAAGTCTGTTTCATTTATAACAAAAATGGATAAAACGGCAATCATATTTACCACCTTCAAAGGACAGAAAAATGAAAGATGTCGATATAAAGTAGTTTAATGGAGAAAACCAGTGATTAAATCAGCGTTTCAAGCATAAAAATAAGAATTACTATTCAGACTTGGTTGTACTAGCATTCCCTTCTTCAAATCCTTTACACTGGTGCAGCACCAGCCTGACAGTGCTCCTGTTAGAGCTGAGGTATTGTTAAAATTATTAACCCTATTTATCAGGTATTCATAGCTCCTTTTCTATACTTGTCAAGAGCAGAATGCAGGCATAATAAAGTTTCAGTGCAAGAATGAACATAATTTTGGAGCCCTCTTTCAAAAAAACTGGTTTTGCTGCTACAAATGAAGCTTGCAAAAGCAATTAGCATGGACGGAGTTAGCCACAGTGCTGAACAATTACAAATTTGTCCAGCCAAGGTAGCTCTATCGAGCTCTATACAAAACTCTTCCCTCATTAAGATTGTTAATGTTGTTATCAGTACTCCTGCTACTTGTCCAACTATAGATTTAAGCCAGAAACTGAGATCCTGGTTTTATCGTACTCCTTCATACATAAAAACATATGCAGGCTTACAAACAATTATGACTAAATACAAAATTCTGTACTGTGAAGTCCAGATTTGGATAATAAATGCATTTGAGATAACTGTATAGGATATGCGCGGTCCCATGCAGCTTTGAGAAGGACTGCTTGTGATGTAAGAGTATCAAAAGCATTATTTTCCATTCATACAGTTACAGAAGATACAAAAATAAAGGGTTATGACCAACGGGCTCTCTGTGAACTAGTGCTGCTGTGCCTTTTGTAAATAATTTATAGCAGAACAAAAGGACAACTAAGGATTGGATTGTCAACTGAGACCTGGATTTCCTTTGTTTCCTCGGGTTCATATTATAACCTTAGTGTTATTTAACCTTGCTTGGTGCTCTGTTCATGAAATCATTGAACATATTTTCATCAGAAACCAGAACTTCACATAAATATCAGCAACGTTTTTTGAACAACATCTCATCCAATTTCCTAGCAATGCACAAAAGCAGAAGGTAAAGGAAACCATTCAAAGAAAACACTGTAGGAAAATCTGGTTTTTACACCATATGTAGAAAATAGTGGCAAAAATCCATTTCAGCAAGGACTGGCTTTGCAAGTACATCGTTAAGCACGTGGAACTGAAGGCTGGTACTCTGCCTGGAACCTAGGCTAGCATGAGGTAATTTCTGACAGAAAAGCCAACACTAGCATGCCATCAAATCAGCACTCTGCCTTTCAGCAAGGTCCCTACCGGAATACCTGTAATCTCTCTTCAAAGCCAAACTGCTTTTAAACCCCAAATAAAGCTCAACCAGAGCTGTTCCTCACTGTCCAAAAGATGAGATCTGAGGCATTAAGTTAATTTGTCTCTTGCTCACCACCAGCTGCATCTTCAATAAAGCTCAAAACCCGGGGCTACGTGCCAACTGCAGCTTGTTATCTGGCTAAGTGCCGCCCACCTTGATCCCACTGTTCCTGTTTTTCCTACAAGATCTCCATAGCTGAAGACAAACACCACTTGTGCAACAAAGCTCGTGCGCTTATGGGGCTCCACGGAACAGTGGAAACACCCAGCTCTGCCAGCCTCTGGCCTGGTGCAGCACCACGGGGCACTGCTCCCGGCTCCGCTCAACCCACCACCGCCTGAGGAATCTGCCAGACACCAGCAGTTGGTTTTATCCTCCTCAGATACTTGCACTGAGAATAAAAGCTGAAGACGTGCTTATTAAATATTTCAGGATTTTTAACGCAGCATCGGAATGCGACAGGACCAAAGGCTAAAGCCAAACAATGGTAAGGAGTACACCGATTACAAGCCTGAAAAGCCTTAAATGAACTGAAAAACA